ATTTTCTAGCACTCATCTTAATCATTTTATTCTTTTAATTTTTGTCCCTTTTATTTAATGACATATTTTTATTTTACTTTTATTTGTATGATTGTTGGTTTAATGTCTCTCTCCCCAATTGGATTGTAAGCTCCATGAGGGTGGGGACCATGTCTGTTTTTTTCAACAATGTGTTGCTAGCTCCTAGCACAATGCCTGACATATAGGATTTCATTGCCACCAGGAGTGATCACAACTTATAAAAATGAATGAACCAGTTAAATGGGGCAACCACGTTGGAAAATAGCTTGGCATTCCCTCAAAAGGTTAAACAAAAAGGTGCCATTATGTCCCAGAATTTGACTCCTAGTATATATCCAAGAGACTTGAACATTTATAGCGGCATTATTCATAATAGCCAAAAAGTGGAACCCAAATGTCCATCGACTGTTTTTTTGTTTTGTTTTTGAACATTTCATTGGGGTTTGGGTGAAGGTTTACATAACAAATTAGTTTCTCATTCAAAACAATTTATACCATTTTGTTGCGTGACATTAGTTGCAATCCCCTCAATGTAAAAGCGCTCTTCCCATTTCGCTTCTAGGTTACCTGTTTCTGTTTGTCTGTCTTTCTCACCCATTGCTGCCTTCTGACCTTTGTTTTTGGACAAATACTGCCCTCTTGGCCTTGTATGGTTGATTGTTCTAAAGAGCACCTTCCTTATGGGTGTTCTTGTTCATTTTACAGGCCTGTCTATTGATTGGCTGAAAGGTAATCCAAAAGTCCATCAACAGTCGAATGTAGAAGCATAGTGTGGTACAGCCATACAATGGGATACCATTATACAATGAAAATGAAGTGCTGATACATACTACCTTGAAGACTAATGCTAAGTGGAAAAAGTCAGTCACAAAAGACCACTTATTTTTCACAAGAGAAAATACAAAATGCATTTTATTAAGTATTCTTTTTGCAAATATTTAACTATGCTGGATCTTCAACTTTGTGGGGGGTTTTTTGTGATTGTAAAAAATTTATTTATTTTTTTTGTATCGACAAAATCAACAAGTATTTGTTGATTAACTGGATAAATGTATTTTCTATTTCTTTTGTGTGTGTGTGCTCAGTTGGGTTTTCTTTTTTCTTTTCTTTCACCCAAGCTAATATGTGACTACTCTCTAGTTAGGGGTTTACCTTCTCTTCCCCCACTCATTCCTGCTAGCCATCAAAGAATATTTCCTTTTTCTTGACTTTTTACAATCATAGTCTCATACAGTATTTGTTCTTTGGGGATTGACTAACTTCACTCAGCATAATGGCCTCTAAGTTCATCCATGTTATATTTCACAGTTTAATGTCTCTCTCCCCAATTGGATTAAACAATTCATCATTGTTCTTTAATGTTGCATAGTATTCCATTGTGTGTATATACCATAGTTTGTTGATACTTTCCTCCATCGATAGGCATTTAAGTTGTTTCCATCTTTCTGCTATTGTGAATAGTTCTGCAATGAACATGGGTGTGCATATCTGTTCATGTCATGGCTCTTATTTCTGTAGAACATATACGTAGTAGTGGCATTGCTGGATCATATGGTATTTCTATTTCCAGCTTTTTAAGGAAGGGCCATACTGTTTTCCATAGTGGTTGCACCATTTTACAGTCTCACCAGCAGTGTATGAGGGTTCCAGTCTCTCCACATCCTCACCAGCATTTGTTGTTTTCTGCCTTATTGAACTTTGCTATTAGTGCTGGGGTGAGATGATATCTCACTGTTGTATTGATTTGTATCTGTTTCATGGCTAATGACCACAAGCATTTCTTCATGTTTGTTAGCTGCCTGAATGTCTTCTTTGGTGAAGTGCCTGTTCATGTCCTCCACCCATTTTTTAATTGGATTATTTGTCTTTGTTGTTAAGTTGTTGAAGTTTTCTATAAACTTTTGAGATTAGCCCCTTGTCTGATATATCAATGCCAAAAATTTTTTCCCCAGTCTGTGGGTTCTTTTTTTACTCTTTTGTTGGAATCTTTTGATGTGCATAAGTGTCTAATTTTTAGGAGGTACCAGTCATCTATTTTGTCTTCTGATGTTTGTGCATTTTTAGTTGTATTCAATAGTGTATTTATACCTTGAATTAGGACCCCTAAGTTTGTCCCTATATTTTCTTCGATAGTCTTCATGGTTTTAGGTTTTACATTCAGGCCTTTGATCCAACTTGAGTTCATTTTTGTATATGGTATGAGATATGGGTCCTGTTTCATTTTCATGCAAATTAATATCCAGTTTTGCCAGTGGCATTTATTAAAGAAACTATCTTTTCCCCCATTTAATGAGTTTTGGCCCTTTGTCAAAGATCAGGTGTTGAAAGGTGGATGAATTTACTTCTGGGTTCTCAATTCTGTTCCATTGGTATACGTGTCTGTCATTGTACCAGTACCAGGCTGTTTCAACTATTATGGCTGTATAGTAGGTTTTGAGATTGGGGAGTGTGAGGCCTTCTACTTTGTTTTTCTTTAGTAATGGCTTACTTATCTAAGGTCCCTTTCCTTTCAATATAAAATTGGTGATTGGTTTTCCATCTCTTTAAAGAAAGATGATGGAATCAGGATAGGGATTGTATTATATCTGTAGATCGTTTTGGGTACTAGTGACATTTTTACAATGTTAAGTCTTCCTGTCCATGAGTATGGTATAGTCTTCCATTTATGTAGGTCTCTTGGTATCCTGTAACAGTGTTTTGTAGTTTTCTTTGTATAGGTCTTTTTTGTCTCAGGTTAGATTCATTCCTAAATACTTCATCTTTTGAGTAGTTATTGTAAATGGTACTGCTTTCTTGATTTCCTTTTCAGAGTTCTCTTCATTAATGTAAAGGAATCCAGTTGATTTTTGTATGTTGATCTTCTACCCTGCCAATTTGCTGAAACTATCAATTAGTTCCAGTAATTTTCTGAGTCTTCAGGATTTTCTATGTATCAGATCAAATCATCTGCAAGTAGAGTTAGTTTACATCTTCTTAAACAATTTGCATGCCTTTTCTTCTCCTTTCTTGCCTTATTGCTCTGGCAAGGACTTCCAATTCAACATTGAATAGGAGTGGGGGATAAAGGGCATCCTTGCCTGGTACCCGATTGTAAGGGGAATGATTTCAGTATCTCCCCATTGAGAATAATACCAGAAGGCTGGCGGTTCAAACCCACTAGTCACTCCTAGGAAGGAAGACTGGGCAATCTACTTCCGTAGAGATACTACCTTGGAAATCCAAGAAGGGGTTCGCTATGAGTTGAATTGACTTGATGGCAGTGAGTTTGGTTTTTGGTTTGGTATTGGTTTTGTATATATGCCCTTAATTATGTCGAGAAATTTCCCTTCTGTTCCTATTTTGTTCAATGTTTTTATTAGGAAAAGACCATCTATTGTATAGTTCCATTTATATGAAATGTCCAGAATAGGCAAATCTATAGGGACAGAAAGTAGATTAGTGGTTGCCTGGGGCTGAGAATGTTGGGAGGGAAATGGAGTACTAATGGGTAGTAATTTATTTTAAGGGTAATGAAATTGTTCTAAAATTAGATAGTGGTATTGGTTGCACAACCTATGAATATAATATAAACCACAGAATTTTACACTTTAAAAGGGCGAATTGCATGATATCTTAATAAAGCTTTTATTATTATTATTATTATTTTAAAATGTGAAAAACAGGTTTGCTTTAAGCAAACTTATAATCATTGATGTTGTTGTTGTTGTTGTTGTTATGTGCCGTCGAGTCAGCCCTGACTCATAGCGACCCCTCCTTGGGTTTCCGAGGCAGTATCACTACGGAAGTAGGATTGCCCAACCTTCCTTCCGAATAATCATTGATAGGAACCCTAATGGCACAAAGTTTAAGCTTTGGGTGCTAACCCAAAGATTGGTGGTTCCAACCTATCCAGTCGCTCTTCGGGACTAAGATCTGCTTCCATAAAGATTACAAGCAAGAAAACACTATCGGGAAGTTCTGCTCTGTCACACGGAATCGCTATGAATAGAAAATGATGCGAGGGCACCCAACAACATTAAAATCGATCCGGATATTCAAATATGTTTGTTTTCAAGTCACACCTGAGGAAAGTGAGGCTGGACAGGAAGGGGCAGATTCTAAAGATAACCAGGCTCCTTGTCTGCGGGGCTGCAGTCTAGGATAACGCCCAGAACCCTTGGCTTGGGCGATTGAGTACGGGGGCGGGGGGTGGGTGGGGAGGATGCCGTTGACAGCTTCAGAAAAGAGAGCAAGAGGAAGATTAGTGGTGATTGTTCACCAGCACATTTCCTCCTTCCTGCGCCCCCGCCCCGTCCCAACCTTCGTATTGTATCAGGACCAGGTCCAACTCACCTCGGATCCCCAGCACCCAAGCGCAACACCAGGCGCCAACCATGTGTATTGTTTGGCTTGGGAAATGTGGTGAATTAATGAACCGACAAAGTGCCTGACCGTGAGCAGGGATTCGGCCTGTCCCAAGCCCAGCACTGCCTGCCGGACTCTGGACGCTGGATTGGGTGGGGGTGAGAGTGAAGGGGTCCACCCGAGCGAGCACCGCTGGCGCTGTCTCCAGGGCGGGGGCCGCAGCCTTTGTGCTGAGGCTGCTCCAGGCTCCCGCCGCTGGGGGGCGGCATTCGCCCCGCCGACCCCCGACAATAGCGCGAGGGGTGGGGAGTATCGCGGTCCCGGAAACTTTTCCCTGGTGCCTTCGCCGCCACCGCCAGCGACCCGGAGCGCGGAACTGGGCGCGCCCGTCTCTGGCCCACGGTCATTGCGCTCGGCTGGGGCCGCGGCGGCGGAGCTGAATACAGGGAAGGGGCGCAGGGCAGTAGGGCCCGCCACCACCCAGTCCAGGGCTGGCCGGGGCCCTGGGGGCTGCGCCAGGTCCCGGCCACGCGGGAGGCCTGCGCACTGGGCTGGTCCGACGCGCGGAGTCGTGCTATGGAGGAGGCGCCCAGCCCCGCGCCCGCGCCTGCACTCTGGAACTGGGACTACCTGGACCACTGCTTCGCCCGCCAACGCGTCTGCATCTCCTTCGGCCTCTGGCTCTGCTCCTCCTCCTGCTGGATTGCCGCCCACGCGCTGTAATGGGGACTGGGCCCCGGGCGGCGCGAGGGTGGGAGATTCAGCCTGCCGTAGGGGGCACTGAGGCGCTACCACCCTGTTAGCTCCCTCCTGGAAACCTAGAGGGAAGAGGGAGGAAAGTGGGGATGGAGGAGGCAGCCAAATTCCAGGACCGAAACTAACATTGCGATGTAGTCCGACGTCGGATGCTTGTTTCCTGGTTCCGTACACAAGGAAGCCAGGCTGTGTGCCAGAGGGAGGAGGCTGTGTGGTCAATGCGTGGGGCCTTGGGCTGGAAACGCCGAGTCCTGGGTTCTAGGGTTAGCCCTTCCCCATATTCGAGGTGTGAGCTGGGACAAATTCAGGTGCCGATTATCCAATAAGCTAGATAAGCACAGGCTTACTTGTTCTTACTTAGTACTCTGAGGTGAATAATTTCACATGGGTTTCACCACGTGAAAAACACGTGAAACTGTTCACTATAGATCAATAAGTAAGCACAAGTAAGCCCTGCTTACCGTAATTACTTGTTACTCCCTATCAGGGATTGTAAATTTGAAGAGGCTTTGATTCTATATGAAGGTGCTTTGGGGTTGGGAGAGAGACAGATTCCAGCCATACCTAAAAGCAGAATCTTTGATGTGGTGAAAAATGTGTGAAATTGTTCGTTACAGATTGTTAAATGAGCACTGGTAAACCCATGCTTACCTTGCTTATTGGGTAGTTCTACACTAATTTGGACAATTAACTCTTGCAGTTCAGTGATAAGGTTTCTTTTACAATCCTGTTTCCTTGACAGCTAGTCTGTCAGGGCTGAGGAGTGGGTCATTAAATTAATTGAGACTACAAGGAAGGTTGGGCAATCATACTTCCGTAGTGGGTTCGCTATGATTGGGCCGACTCCACGATTGGGCCGACTCCACGATTGGGCCGACTCCACGATTGGGCCGACTCCACGGCAAACAACAACAACACCTAGTTTATGGGAGGAGCTCTGGTAGTGTAGTGCCTAAGGCATTTGACTGCTCACCAGAAGGCTGACAGTTCAAACCCACCAGCCACTCCTCGGAAGGAAGATGGGGCAATCTACTTCTGTAGTGATACTGCCTCGGAAACCCAAGGAGGGGTCACTATGAGTCGGGTCCAACGCACATAACAACAACAAGTTTGTGGGAGGGAGCTTTGGAGACCTAGTGCCTAAAGCATTTGACTGCTAACCAGAAGGCTGGCGGTTCAAACAGCCATCCCTAGGAAGGAAGGGTGGGCAATCTACTTCCGTAAAGATACTGCTGCGGAAACCCAAGGAAGGGTTGCTATGAGTGGGATCCCACACAAGGACAGTGAGTTTGTGGGAGGAAGGTGATTCCTCTTCATTAGCGAGGTGGTGTTTCCTGAGGTCTTGCTCCTGCTGTGGGTGTTGACCAGAGGCTCAGAAGTCTTTTGACCCTTTCTTTTCCCATCTGTAAACTAAATTAAAAACTAGTTACTGATTATGTGGGGCAAAAGTCCTTTGTAAGGGCATGAAGTCACGCTTGTCCTTTTCAGACACCTGCCTGGCCTGTCCCCAAATACACAACTCCCATGTTCTGACCATACTTCTGTCTGTCACCCAGGCTTCTCTATCTGAGATGTTCAAAGAAGTCTGGGCAGGACCAGTCGGCACTGTGTGCAGCATGCTGCCTCCTGACCAGCCTGTGTGATACTGTAGGGGCCATCCTGGCCAGACAGCTCACCATCCAGGTACGTCAGGCCCACAGGTGACAGTGGCTATCAGGCTCAGGCCTGGCCTGTCTTTCTCTGCTGCAGGTGCAGTGCCTTCTGCCTTGTTCCTTCAGTGTGTGAGGCACAGTCTTGCCTCAGGGCCTATGTCCTTGATGTTCTTTCTGCCCATTAGATGCTTTTGCCCCTGACTTCCACATGGTTCACTGCTCATCTCTTTCAAGGCCTAAACAGATATCATCTCAGTAAGGGCTCTTTTCACCACGCACTTAAAACTCCAACCCACCTCTACCACCAGCTCACTTGATCCCCTCCCTACGCTGTTTTCTGCTCACCTCTTAATCTACCATACATTTTACTTTTGATTATGTTTATTGCTTATTGCACATTGACCTCCAAAAGAATGTGAGTTCTCCAAGGGCAAGGATTTTTGTCACTTTTATTCACTGCTATATTGCTATATCCCACGTCACCTAAATCAATATTCAGCACATAACAGGTGCTCAATAAATAATTTCTGTTATTGTAAAGCCCTGAGTCCACCCCCAGCTCATGCAGGGGTGGCTAAACTTTTCCCATGTAGGGATGGGAGCTTGGGAGTAAGTGAGGTACAATTTCAAGTATTCCAAAAGTGTAAGCCCTCAAACAAATGTGCAAAGCACAGGCCCCAAGGAAACCCTGTGTGGGCCAGGGGTGCACACTATGCCTGGTCCTGGCCTGTGCCCACCCAGGTAGATGTGAGGGAGGGAAGCCTAGTGGCAGGAACACAGATTTGGACAGTTCTAGACCCTGTCCTGAGCAATGTTTTTTCAGAAGCAAATCACCTTTCATTTTGTGTGCCCATTCTCATTAGCTGATAGAATGTAATGAGGCCCAGCTCAGGTCACATAATAAACCAAAACCAAACCCACTGCCATCTAGTCAGTTCTGACTCATAGCGACCCTTATTGGGTTTCCAAGACTGTAAATCTTTATAGAAGTAGATTGACTCATCTTCCTCCCATAGAGTAGCTGGTGGGTTTGAACTGCCAGCTTTCTGGTTAGCAACCAAATGCCTTATCCACTACATCACCAGAGCTCCTTCAGGTCACATAATAGTAGACAGTAATTATTATGTATTTAACTAATGCTTGAGGAACTCTGGTGGTATAGTGTTTAAGACATTTGGCTGCTAACCAAAAGGTCAGTAGTTTGAACCTACCAGCAGCTGCTCTGCACAAGAAAGATGGAGCAGTCTGCTTCCATAAAAATTTATAGTCTTGGAAACTGTGTGGGGCAGTTATACTCTGTCCTATAGGGTCACTTGTGAGAATCAACCTGATGACAGTGGATTTGGTTTTTTGATGTACTTTCCTTCAGGTGCTGCTCTAAGCACTTTCCATGTATTGGGTTATGTAATCTACTTAACAGTCTTTAGAGGAGGCATTTTCATTATCCCTGTTTTACAGATGAGGAAACTGAGGCCCAGAAAAGTTCAAAAACTGGGTCAAAGTTATACAGCAAAGACATCACCACAGAGTAGTTAAGAGTGGGGTGTAGGCAGCGGAGGGCTGGGTTCTTGTCCCATATAGTGTTGATGGGTATCTGTGGAACTTGGAGTCAGTTGTTTAAGAACTTGTCTCATCAGTCAAATGGAGATGATAACTGGCCTTTCTCGGGATTGGTGGGAGGCTTCACTGCTTATAGAGGTAGAGGCTTATGTCAGTGTATGAGGTGGTGACTGAAACATGGGAGAAGAGATCCTGGGGCAAGAGAGGCTGTAGATGCTGAAAAAAGATGTTTGAACTATTTCCATCTGTTCTCAGGTTTTCACTGGTGCCTACCTGGCAGCTGCTGACTTAGTGAACTTTATGTTCATTCTCTTCCCTGTCTGTGGCTCCCAACTCAAGTCACATTCAGGTGAGTATGTGGCCATCTGTTGCTTTCTTCATTCATCCCATCATTCCACTACTCCTTGTCACACCCCATGCTGGACCCCTGCTGAGCATAGATGAATGCACCAGGTCCCTGTCCTCAGCCAGTTGAGGGAGGCAGGCCCTAAACAGTACTCAGAGCTGCCAGTGTATACCGTGGGCAGCCAGAGGAAGGGAAGGGGTTGCAGGTGTCAGGGAAGGTTGTTATGTTGTCACTGGGAGTGCTGGCAAGCACTCCTGGACAACAAGAGCAGCATGGGCAAAGGTCGGGGGCAGGGGGGCAGGGGGAGAGATAGTGCATGGTTCTGGGGAATGATAGTGGTATCTCAGTGCTCAGTGTGCTAGTGTAGGGTGGCCAAGTGAAGCCTGCAACTTACAGAAAAAGATGCCAGGAATAGGCATTGTCTTAGTTTCTTCGTGCGGTTATAATAAATATGACAAGTGGATGACTTTAATGAACAGACATTTATTTTCCCCACATTTAGGAGGCTAAAATGTGCCTTCAGGGCACCAGCTCTCGGGGAAGGGTTTCTCCCTGTCAATGCTGGGGGGCGCTCCTCTTCTCTTTTCAGCATCTGTTCTTCTGTTCCTTGGTGATCTTCTTATGGTATCCATCTTCGCCCATCTGTATTTCTTTCTTCTGTGCCTAATCTGCTCTTTATATCTCAAAAGTGATACACTCAAGACACAACCTACACGGATATGGCTTCATTAACATTACAGAGAAAGCCCTATTCCCAGATGGGATCACATTCATGGATATTTGTTGTTGTTGTTGTATGCAGTGGAGTTGATTCTGACTCATTTCTCCTCTATAGGACCAAGTAGAACTGCCACATAGGTTTCCTAGACTGTAACCTTATAAGGAGCTCTGATGGTGTAGTGGATAAGGCATTTGAATGCTAATCAGAAAGAAGGTTGAAGATTTAAACCCACCTGCTGCTCCGTAGAAGGAAGATGGGGTGATCTATTTCTGTAAAGATTTACAGCCTTGGCACTCCGGTGGGGTTGCTGTGAGTCAGAATTGACTCAGTTGCAGTGAATTTGGTTTCAATCTTGTGGGAGCACATTTCCAGGTCTTTTCTCTCATGGGACCACCAGTGGGTTTGAACTGATGACCTTTTAGTTAGAAGCCAAGTGCTTAACCACTGCTCCACCAGAGCTCATGTATCCATGGGTATAGAGGGTAGGATTTACAACACATATTTTGGAGAGACACAATTCAATCCATAATAGGTATGGACTGCCTCAAGCAGAGATGGTCTGGAAGTGACAGATGGTTGAGATTCCCCAAGCAGGTGGGCCTGAGGGGTGGGAAAGTTGTCCACAGCTGCTGTCTGCTGCCCAGAAGAGGCATATTATTAGAATTGTTCAGAGGTATATCTGTCTTATATTTCAAAGAAACTTTCAAAGATGTTTTTAGAAATAACACCTCCTTGGGTTAGGTTTAGTATTACTTTTTTATTCTTCTGATCACCAGAAACTAAGGTCTAGTAATAAGCAGAAAACAAGGCTGTTGTGCTGGGGGAGGAATGGACAGAGGAGATTCTCAGTCCTGACTGTGCACTGGAATCACCCAAACCAAAACTCATTGTTGTCAAGTCAATTCTGACTCATAGCAACTCTATAGGATGGAGTAGAACTGCCCTATAGGGTTTCCAAGGCTGTACATCTTTATGGAAGCAAACTGCCTCATCTTTCTCCTATGGAGTAGCTGGTGGGTTCAAACCACTGACCTTTTGGTTAGCAGCTGAATGCCTTAACCACTGCACCACCAGGGATCCTTGGAATCACCCAGAGACCTTGAAAAATACTGATGTGAGTAAAACTAGTCAGTCACAAAAGGACAAATATTGTGTGATCTCACTTATAGGCCATATCTAGACTAGGCGAGTGTGTAGAGACGTAAGTTTCTTAGTGGTTACCAGAGGTGAGAGGGAGGGGAACTCATTGTTTAGGGGACACTGAGCTTCTCTTAAGGGTGATGGAAAAAATTGGAAATGGAATGTGGTAATGGTTGAACAAGATGACCATGTTAATGTCACTGGGTTGTGCATGCAAAAAATATTGAAATGGCAAATGTTGCATATATATTTATCACAATTAAAATTAAAAAAAAGATTTCCCTAAACCAAATGAGTTTGGATATCTACCTTTATTTAAAGATTTGGATATAGTACTAATTTGTAGTGTTTCAAACAAGTAAATTATCTTAGTACAATACAGTGAAACCTGTGAGAGCCGGAATTTGGCAGGACTGCCTTGTTTTTCAAGGTCTCACAAGTTCTCTGTCTTCGACAGGGGCCAGTCTTACCACTTTTCTATGGCTTGTTTTAGTGAGTTTTTTTTTTCCTTCTCTGATAGGTTTCTGCCTTGTACAGGTTCCAGCTTTTGCAGGTTTTATTGCATAACCCCATGTTTTAAAATGCTTTATAATGAAATATATATAATTATAAATATATATATATATATATATATATATATAACATAATACATAATTTAAATATTTCATGAAAACATTTAAGTATTTTACAAGGAAAGAAAAATACTGATGCTATGTCCCACTGCAGAGATTGTCCTGCCCCTAGTCTTAGTGCAGGCTGAGCTTTGTCAAAGCTCCCAGATGGTCTCCACATGCAGCCTAGGCTGAGAACTGCTGGAGCAGGGATAGAGAAGGAGGACCAAGGTAGAAAGAGATGGACTAGAAGGAGCGCTGCCATGTGGTGGGAGTGTCCTGCCGGGAGGCTGGAGCAGTGCAGGGTGAGAGAGAAGGCCTAGCTGGTGTCCGATGTCTTTCCAAGCAAAATCACGAGCTTTGTGGTCAGCATGCCTCCTCTGGCCTGTGGCTGACTTCTGAGTTAGAGAAAACATCAGCATCTGCTGACTGGCTCACTGCTCTTTGTCCTGCTCACAGTTGAGGTGCCTTGGTTCAAACACACCATTCATAGCTTTGTTTACCAAGTTTGTGCTGGTTCTTGTCTGTAACAGGACACAGTGCCTGCACTGGATTGGCTTCAGGTCTAGTAGAGGCGTTGCTTTATGCATGCAGATATGTATGAGAAAAGAGAATGGCCATCCCTGCCCTAAATCATCAAATGCTATGAGAAGACAGGCCGGAGAGCAATGCCACTTGTGGGATGTGAGGATGGGTTAGGGTGGTAGGGAAGAAAGGCTTCTCAAAAGATGTGGCAACACTGATGGAACCTCTGAGCCTATGGCCCCTAGCTGCCCTTCAGATCTGGAATTGAACCCACTCCCATGGCTTCCAGCCAAACAAAAGATAGGCATATGAGCTGAACATTTGCATTAGGTAGATACACTCCTTGGAGAGCTCAATCATGGGAGAATAGAAGGGCTGTGTATGCACAGGGAGACAGCTCAGGGGGCAGGAGTGCATGGGAGGGAAGGACACAGGGAAGAGGTGGCTACAGGGAGGAAGTGGGAATAGAGCTATTGTGTTGTGGGAAATTGCAGTCAATGTCATCTGAAAAGTGTATGTATGGAAAGTGAATTTGCTCCATAAACTTTCACCCAAATCACAATAAAAATTAAAAAAAAAAAAAAAAAGATTTAAAAGAGATTAAACTAGCAAGTAAGGGAGCAGGAATGGGAGAAGATAGATCCCATACCACCTGGGGAAAAAAAAAGATGTGGCACAGCCCCAGAGCCTTGAAGGGTGGGGGGATCTAGCAGTGTAGGACCCATCCTGGCACTGGGGTTGGGGGCTGACACCAGTTCCAGGAGCCATGTGGGATTTTGGTGTCTTTCAGGCCGGGGCTCCCGGGAAAGGAAGAGGAGACAGAGGCTCAGGGCCTGCATAATTGCCCTGGCCCTGCCACTGAGTCTGGCCCCAGGCTGGGCTCTCTGGTCCTCTGTCCCGAAGGCTTCAGGCCCAGTCCAGAGGCCACAGCGGAGGCTTCTGGGAAGCCTGCTGCAGGTGAGGCTGAGCCACCATGAGGTAGGGTAGGACCACCCTCCTCACGTTCCTGGGACCCTAACCCTGGGGAGGAGGATCATAGCCTTTGATACTGCTAGAAGGAACCTGCTAAAGAAGAGTTCATTAGGCTGTGCGGTTTCTTGGGCTGCATGGACAATTTCCACAGAGTGCTGAGGGTATGTCACCTGTTCCTGCAGGAAAATATCGAAATCTTCGGCTACCTGCTGGGTGGGATCGCTACCTTTGGCTCCTGGGTCTCCCGGATCCCTTCGCTCTCCAGAATCGTGAGGCTGGGGCTTGGGCTGGGGCTGGGGGTTCTGGTGGCAGGTCTTCGGGCATCTGGGAGCATCCCTGCTACAGCCATCAGGGTAGTAGTGTGGAGTCCTGGGGAGTGGGGAGGGTATATGTGCATGTTTACTTAACATTTTCTGAGGCTCAGCAGTGTGTGTAACAGTGATGGGGCGGTGGGCAGGGAGTTTGCTCAGGGAGGTCCTGAGGACTGTTAAAGCCTCTCACAGGGAAAACCCACTGCTTCCTTCCGTCTCTATTTCTTGTAACAAATGAAAAGCAAGCACTAGGGAAAAAGCCAGGGAGGCTGGATAAACAAGTCTGCCATTAGGGATTAAGAAGGTTTCCACAATAGAATTATTTAGTTCCTGGAGTTCTGTGTAGTTCAGGGGCATTTTAGTTTAATTTGGCAGGTATTTTCCAAGCACCAGGGGTGCACCAGTGGTGAGGGCAGCCCTGTGATGCCTGATTCTGGGGGGACGCAGACATGAATTGAGACTGTGATTGCCCTTGGGGAGTTCACAGTCTCATGGAAAACACGGACATGTAAAGCAGGACATTTTATTGTTCTGTGACTGATATGAGGGTGGTAGTGGTTCGATTTTCTCCTTCCATGCAGGAGACCTGGGTTTGATTCTCGGCCAGTACACCTCATGTGCAGCCACCACCTGTCTGTCAGCAAAGGTGGCACAGTGGCTAAAGCATTTGGCTGCTAACCAAAAGGTTGGCAGTTGAAACCCACCAGCCACTCCACAGGAGAATGATGACACAGTCTGCTTCCATAAAGATTTACAGACTTGGACAGCAAATGGAGTAGTTCTACTCTGTTCTACAGGATCACTATAAGTCAGAATCAACTCGATGGCACTGGGTTATCAGGCTGAACAGATTTGAGCAGAGCTTCTAGGCTAAGACTAGGAAGAAAGGTCTGGTGATCTGCTTCCAAAAATCAGCCAATGAAAACCCTATGGGTCATGAATGTTCATTCCACAACCAATCAGGGGAATGGCTTAGGACTGGGCAGTGTTCTGTTTTCTTGTACAAGGAGGGCAACTCCATGACAACTAACAAAGAAGGATATAAACAAATGTTTGGAGTCTCAGAAGACGGAGAAAGGCTCTTCTGTTGTTCAGCGAGAGTGAAAGCTATTTAAACTGTAATTATGGGCAGGGAGCCTTTATGCTGACTCAGAAGGGAAGGTGGGATTCTAAGAGAAAGGCCCACTGGGAAGAGGACAATATGCGAGAGAAGCCACCAAGACAGGAAACCAAACCAAAAACCAAATTCACTGCCATCAAGTTGATTCTGACTCATAGCAACCCCCATTGGGTTTCCAAGGCTGTAAATCTTTACAGAAGTAGATCACCCCATATTCCTTTCATGGAGCAGCTGATGGGTTTGAACCACTGACCTACTGGATAGCAGCCAAATGCCTCACCCATCAGGCCACCAGAGCTTCTTAGGGCAGGAAAGTAACTGAGAAATAGTAAGATACTGCAGAAAACTTCTCTGCACCTGACTGAATGTGGAGTGTAATGTAATCATCATTTAGTTAAAAAAAAGAAAAAAAAAACACTTGCCCAAGGGCACCATGGTTTAGTAGTAGTTCCAGGGGAACAGGATTTGAGAAGCCAGGTGATCATTTGCAGGAAGCTGCTAAGACCAGCAACCTCACAAAAGCATGGGGCCTCATCAACAAAAGTATGCCATTCAGGTTAAGGGGGGGGCAAGTGGGGAGCATCGTGCTATTCAGCAATCCACTGGGATGGGTCTCCAGGAAGGGCCCAGGGTGGCATGGGGCCTATGTCACATTAAGATCTTTGAAGGACCTGACACAGTACCCTCACCACCGCACCTAACATGGCCCCAAGCCACCCTACCACTCTGTCTCCCCCCTCTGCCTCATTTTCTCTCAAGCATTTATCACATCCTGAATTGAGCTCCTCTGTTTACTAAGTTAGTGTAAAATCCTCCACATGAACATCAGCATAAGAAAGCAGCAACTTGTCTGTTTTACTGTCCACTGTATTCCAGTGTACAACAAGGGCCTGGCCTGTGGTGAGTGCTAGCAAATACTTATTAATGACTGACTTCATTTGGCCTGGAATAAAAAAGAAGCTCATGGGTACAGGAATCAGCAGGGCTGCCATGAGGCAGAAAGAGCGGCCTTCTTGACTGCAGTCTCAGGGAGCAGCAGAACCAAGACCAAACCTGGGGAGAGTGGGTAAGGGTCGCTTTCCACTCAGTAAAAGGAAGAACATCATGCATAGTAGCTGGCATGGTGGAAGCAGCCAATATTATTATTCCTGATGGCTGCCTTAGGAGGTAGTGGGCTCCCCATCACTAATGGCATTCAAGGCTCATGACACCTTGGCAGGATGATAGAGTGAGTTTGCACTGCAAATGTACAGGGCATCTCTGAGATGCTGCCAGTCCTAAGTGTCTGGTTCCATGAATAACAGCCCAGAGCAAGGGTTCCTTTATTAGAGTTTGGAGTATTTTGGGAAGCCTGGCCAGGATGGAGCTCAGACCCTGGTTCCCCCAGAAGCTACTTCTAATTTACCCATGGTAGGTGCCAAAGAGTGGTATGTCTGAGTGGCATTGGTGGGAAAACCTCCCATTCTTCCAGGAGTGAGTCGTTGAGCAGGATGAGGGCTGTGAAACGGCCACTGATCAATAAAACGCACCAACCCCAGTAATCCTCGCTCTGCTAAAGCTATCTGAGGCACATCCTGCCACACCGGGGCTCCCAGCCCCCAGACTCACCAGGCGGGGTCGTCCTTCCAGCGTTCTGTCCTGACCTGCTAGAGAAGGCCTGTGTGCGCTGCAGAAAGAGCTGTTGTGTCTCAAAATTGCCAATCTAGTTCTATTCTTTAAGCAGATATTAAGCAGTACTGTGTGTCTAGCACTGCAAATAGAGCTTTGAGGCCCCAGTACTACCCATGAAAAGAAATTGAGTTTAGAGGACAGTAGGTCCTGGGGCTGGGTTGGCTCGTGAGTGAAAGCAGAGAGTACCCCAGCATGGGATTTATTGGGAGCTGCAGCCAGAGCAAGGCCAGGAGACAGGAGGCCCCAGTTCCAGCCCTGGCTCTGCAAGCCACCTCTGCTCTCTAGCTGTCAGTATTCCCTCTGTTTAACCATGTCAGGGTGATTAGGCTGGGCAACTCCTGAGGGCATCTAGTCATAACACTCTAACACCCCTTGGCCAATGCTGACCAGGACAAGAGCTGCTTCCTGGCCTGCCTGTGAGGTGGGCAGGGCTCATGGGAAATCAGCCTGGCTCCTCCATTCCCAGGTCCCCGTGCTCCACAGATAAGCTGCTGACAGTACTCTCTTTATAACTAGTCTTCTATGGACACTGGACCAGAAACAGGGAGGCCTAGAAACAAAACTGGAAGAAATGCAGAGGGAAATGTAACATTCCTGGAGTTATTTTTGAGAATTAAAATAAAATGGGGAGATATTGACCAAAACATGCTTTTACCTTGAAATTTTTCCATTTTCACCTAAGGCCTGTTTATATCTAAACATGGTTATCTAATGAGTAAATGGAGTCCTGGAGGTGTAATGATTAAGCTCTCAACTGCTAATTGAAAGGTCAGCAGTTCAAATCCACCAGCTGCTCCCTGGGAGAAAAATGTGGCAGTCTGCTTCTGTAAAGATTACAGCCTTGGAAACCCTATTGGGCAATTCTACTCATTCTATAGAATCGCTATGAGTTGAAAATGACTTTACAACAATGAACTTTTGGTTTTAATAAGCAAATAAAATTATATGTAATAAAATTTATGTGGTTATTGTTAGGTGTTGTCAAGTTGGTTCTGACTCATAATGACCCCATGTGCAACAGAATAAAACACTGCCCAGTCCTGTACCAACCTCACAATTGTTGCTACATTTGAATCCATCATTGTAGCCACCATGTTGGTCCATTTCATTGAGAGTCTTCCTCTTTTTGACTGATCCTCCACTTTACCAAGCACAGTGTCCTTCTCCAGGGATTGGTCCCTTCTGATAACATCTCCCAAGTATATAAGACAAAGTCTCACCATCTTCACTTCCAAGAAGCATTCTGGCTGTACTTCCTCCAAGACAGATTTGTTCGTTCTTCTGACAGTCCACTGTACGTTCAATATTCTTCACCAACACCACAACTCAAAGCACCAATTCTTCTTTGGTCTTCTTTATTCGTTGTCTAGCTTCCACATGCATTTGAGGTGATTGAAAATACCTTGGCTTGTGGGTTAAGCACACCTTACCCTTCAAAGTGACAATCTTTGCTTTTTAACACTTTTAAGAGATCTTTTGCAGTAGATTTGCTCAATGTAATATGTCATTTGATTTCCTTTTTAAATTTTTTTATTGTAATTTGGGTGAAAGTTTAAAGAGCAAATCCATTTTCCATTCAACAATCCATGTATATTTTGTTTCACATCATTGATTGCAATCCCCTCAATGTAACATCCCTCCTCCCATATTCTCCCTGCATTTCCTATTTCCATTCCTCCTTCTCTCCTAACCCTTTCTGGCTTCTGAACTTTGTCCTAGGGCAAATGCTGCCTTTTGGATCTTGAATAGGTGATTGTTATAAAGAGTACATCTCTTCCTAGTGCTATTGTTCACCTTGTAGACTTCTCTGTTTGGCTAAAAATTGAGCCACAGAATGAGTTCAGTTCCAGGTCCTAAAAGTGACTAAGGACTGTAGTCTAAGGGGTTCGTTTGATTTCTTGACTGCTGCTTCCATGGGTATTGCTTATAGATCTAAGTAAAATGAAATCCTTAACAACTTCAGTCTTTTCATATTCATCATGATGCTGCTTACTAGTCCACTTGTGAGGATTTTTTATTCTTTATGTTTATGTTCAGCCATACTGAAGGCTGTAGTTTTTGATCTTCATTAGTAAGTGCTTCAAGTCCCCTCCATTTTCAGCAAACAAGATGTATCATCTATATATCACAGGTTATTAATGAGTCTTCCTCCAGTCCTGATGCCACA